GATTCGATTTTTGTGTGATATTTCGAAGGGAGATCATCACAAAAATTAGCCAATGAAATCAAATGTCCACTATGCTTCACTATTATATGTAATTCCTCATGTAGAACATTTTTAGCTTAGAAACCATACCCATTTTGCTTAATAAAACTTTGAGATACCCTCCATTAAAGTTTTAAAAAATAATAGCAAATTACTTGAAATGCAGATCTTTTTTTTAAATTTTCTCAAGACATCATTTTCACAACATGGTCCGTTTCTATTGTCCAGACCCATATATGCTGTGTATCATGTGCAACCAATGAAATTTCTCCCTCTATAAATGCACACCCTCCATAAATGCACGCTGTGCCTCAGTCCCAAGGGGTGCAATTATGGAGGTCTGACTGTATACCAAATCGCTAATGTAAGAAAGCAAAAACACACATTCTAGACAAGCACCAAGTCATTCAATAATTTGCAAACTGAAACAGTCACATCATAAATTTATACATTTTTTATTTTGAAAAATGAATTTTGAATTTTGGTGGTAAAGAATTAATTAATTGTATCCTAAGAATTATTATATATTGATATTGAGATTAAAGAATCGGGGAATTTGAAATATCATTGTAAGAAAATTATTTTTCTAAAATTACAATTAGAATTTAATAATAATAGTAATAATAATAATAATAAATAAGTCGTTGTGACAATAAATAATAAGATAAATTCCTATCTTCCATCACTTCTTCTAATTATTAATATAAATATCGCTTTCAACGTTGTATAAATTATTAATTTCTCTAATCAGCCCGTCCAAAAATGCTTGATCTGTGCATTTAAGTTCAATCTTTACCATTTCCTTTTTAATAAGATCATTGGAATCGTCATCATCGTCATCATCTATTAACGATGAATTTTCTACGCTTAATTTTGCCAACCCAGCAACTTGATATCCCTGAACACTTTTCCCATAAAATGTTATAGCACCTGTAACTTGTTCTACTATATTTGTACCTGTTGCAGTCGTTGTCAAATTTTCCAATGAATTATGAAAAATTTCTTCAATTGGTTTATCAATAATACTATTGTTGATGTCATTGTTTGGATCAATGGCACTTCTTAGATGATAGGATGTTGATCCGGTAAATGGGAAATCTGATGTTTTAGAAACATAACTTATAAATTCATCCGGTGATAATTTAGGAATATCTAACATAAACGTTGCCACAGGTAATTCAAACTTTATGGGAATTGAATTATTGATATTAATATTATCTTTATCATTTGTCACCGTCGAGTTCTCATTCGTTATCTATTCAAAAAAAATTAATTAATAAAAAAACATTGTATAATTAAATGATTAAATATATATTAATTATTATTACCTGTATTGTATAATTAAATGTTCCAGTAACTTCTAAACCAACTCCTACAATTCCTAAAACTTTAAATGGAATTGAAATTTCTTTTTCCCCATTGACAGTCAATGTATCTACTACTTCAACCACCTTGCTCTCAAAATTGATATCTGATGTTGATTCAAACGTAAATGACATTTGTGAAATATTCATAGAACATTTATTAATTATTACAAAATTTACATATAACAAAGGTGCTTCATTCTTGATTTCTATAGAAGCTGCTAATCTTAAAGTATAAGTCTTTTAATAATAATTAAAAATTCAAAAAAAAAAATTAAAATTATTTTAATATTTTATTTATAAAATCAAATGCAATTTATTTTTATTTTAAAACTTACAATTTTAAAATTCTCTGAATCGATTAAAGTCTTAATTGGTAATTTGGAAGATTTGGAAACCTTTTCAGATTCTTGGTTGTCAGAATGGGTTTCTTTCTTTTTCTATTGAAGGGAACATATTAAATGAATATTAATAGAAATTTGCTCAGAAAATTTTTTATTTTATTTTTACCTTTTTAGTAGTGGTGGTGGTAGTAATGGCTTCCTTCTTCTTCTTCTTTGGTTTTTCAGATGATTCTTTATTCGCCTTTTTTTTTGATGTTTTTTTAGAAGCCTTTTCCGCTTTTTCAAGAGATTTGGAATTTGTTGATTTTGTGGAAGGTTTTGTCTTAGATTTCACAATCTATCAATTAATCCATATAAATTAATTATAATTAATATTTATTATAATATATATTGACAATAATGAGAGCGATTAAGATCTTACTTTTGATGATTTCTTTGAACTACTCGATTTTTCTGATAAAATTTTAGCTTGTCTTTCTACTAATAATTTTTTTACTCTTTCAACCTCTTTGATCCTTGATTCTTCAGGGCTAGCGTAAACAGTTATTTGTGGTAATTTTTCGTCTTCGCCCAACGGAGTAGATAAATCTACGTTTGCTATACCAGAAAAATCTACATCCAATATTCCACCAGCTTTGATACTTTTACTGTTGTTCCAGATTTTTTGTTCAAATATTTCTTTAGTAGTATCTTTTTCATCATCTGAAATGGTCGCATTTTCTGGCATTTCACCAATATCTGTGTAGATAACAACCGGTGTTGTGGTTAGTGATGCTGATGTTTGTGGTTTTTTTTGTGACGTTGATAGTGATGTTGTCGATCGATTTTGATCTTTTTTATTTCCTTTATAGGTAAGAAGTTCACGTTATCATTAAATTTGTACAACTATTTTCTCTTGTTATTAGATGTTGAATGATCTTTTATTTATTTAATAAACTTTAGATCATGTTTGAAAAAAATTTAACTGATTTAATTCGTGGAATAAGAGCGAATAAGAAACATGAACAAAAATACATTGCAACCTGTTTACAAGAAATACATCAAGAAGTTAAATGTAATGATCCTGATGTGAAAGCAATGGCTATTTCAAAATTAACCTATGTATGATCAATAATAATAAAACATACTTTTATAACTTATTAAAAGCATTTATTTTTATTAAAAAATGAATATTTTATTATTACTTATAGCTTCAAATGTTGGGCTATGACATGTCTTGGGCATCTTTTCATGTTGTTGAGGTAATGTCTTCACCAAAATTTACACAAAAAAGAACAGGATATTTAGCAGCTGCACAATCTTTTCGTCAAGACACCGATGTATTAATGTTGACAACTAATTTATTGAAAAAAGTATTTATTAATTATTCAATTATCCATCAAATTTCAATTATAAATAGATAAATAGATATTTAAAATAATATTTATCGTAAAAAAAAAATAGGATTTAGCCTCTGGAAATCATCTT